CTTGCTACTCATACGCGGGTACGTGTACCAACTGGCTTACTTTGAGTAAATTGCTAAAGTTTTTTGGGGAGGAAAAAAAACGAAAGAGAAGTTCCCTGACAACTTCTCATCTCTTGGTTGTTTCTTTAATTTTTTGCGAATATTCGTTTTCAAATAGATTATTCTTCCGTAGCCCAACAAAAGAGCTTTAAAATCATTGAAATACATACGATTTATCTACACTTGGATACATTGTGCAACACACACTCCTAAAGCAATTCAGATCAATCGTAAAAAAACTCCTGCGAACCTGTAGCCCCGAAAAAACCAGAGACTCGGAAGATCAATCAATTTCGGCCCAGTCCTGTCAACCTTTCGGGAAACTCCCCTTGAAATTCTTCGGCCAAATTCCCTACACGCTAGCACAACGATTTTGTAACCCCGCACGGCGTCTTCCGCAACTTCTGTTTTTTCCCTCGTCCCCTCCACCAGCTCTAAATATCCCCGCGAAAAGCTAGGGCGAACGGGAGCGCGCGAAGGAGAAGAAAAAGCGAAAAAAGAAAACAAACACCACGGCTCGGTTCAATGCTCGCTCGAGCCTCTCCAAAGACGAAAACAAAAAAAAAAAAAAAAAAAAAAAACACCAACCGAGTCATCGATTTCGTAGAAATCAATTTCTTGCGAGCATCATCATCCTACACCCATACGTATCCCTTGTCACGCACGCACACATCGACAGACGAGCTTTTTATTCCGACAGAGTAGCGTCGGCGCCTCCCCTAGCGCCCAATGACTGACTCGCCATAGCAGCATTCAGAGAGAGATACGTCCCAGCCCGAGCATCCGTGGCTATACACGCATGTAGGCTCGGGCCGAGCGAGCATGTTTTAAAGGGAGCGATGAAGGAGGAGGGAGGGAAGATTAAGGCTATTCTTAAAATAGGGCCTACAGCGCGAATGAACGGCCGGTGCGGCGGAGCGAGGGAGAAAGAAAGATCGGAAACGGCGTTCGGCCGGTCGGGTCGCCGGGTCCCTCGGCGTCGACGTATCTCGAGCCGCGAGCGGTACCCTCCGCTGCGTGTGTGCCGCCGGGAGCGCGAGAGAGAGGATATCGCGTCGGCCGCGCTGGTTCCTCCGGTACATGTGTGTGTGTGACTTTTCTCTCGCGCCTCTCTTTCTCGGACCCGACACGCGTGGCCCGCGATACACACACACGTGGGGACAGAAAGGAGGACCTTTCTTTTTTCGTCATCCTCGACGATTGTTTTTCCAAGTTTTCTTGTTGATGCTGTTGTTGTTGCTGCTGTTTCTATTATCGCAGTGACTGCTTATGCTGTTATCGTTCATTAGTTTCTATGTTGTTGGTTCGTTCGCGTGACGTGAAAACAAAAATTCTTTTTTGCGGTGAAGTGCTGCAGAGTCTCCGGTCGGGGTGCTGGAATAAAAACTCGAGGCTCGAGTCATGTCATCCTTCAGGAATTACGTAAGTTGTTTTTTTTTTTTTTTTTTTTTTTTAACTCGTTGCGTCCAGCACACTCCGAATGAAGTGCGCGCGTTTAGCCCTTCACCGTGTGCCGTTACCCCTGTTGGTACTTGCAGGATATCCTATTGTACAGACTGCACACATTGTTTCTATCGGAATACTCTTGAAAGGCTCTCGTTAAATTAAGCCAACTTCACTTACGGGTGATGAATATTTCGTGCATTTTCATCTTACCGATATACTTCATCACGACGGTAACAAAAGAAACGTAGACCTGATTGTAATGTACTTACGTTCTATATGAAGGAAGAAAAAGAAAAAAATGGATCTGGAGGTATGATTTTAGATCAACGAGAGGCGAGCCGCAAGCTCTCCTGGCCGTTTGGGCGAATCGCTCCGGTATCTATTTTCTGCCAATAGCCCAGACGTAGGTATAGTCGGCGGAGAAGGGGGGGAGGGGGCAAGCGGAGGAAGGCAAAGAGAGGCGTGGAACCCCACAGCCCAACCCGAATCGCTCGGCTTTTCACCGAAAAGCTCATGGCTTTTGTCTCTCCTATACGCAGCTACATACGTAAAAGACACGCACCCCCCCCCCCTTATATTATGTCTTTCATCGATGCCTGTAACAATATCAGCTGTGCGCAGAGTAAGTAACGATGAGGCTTCCATCGGCGGGTGTTATTACGTAATCCTCGATCTTTAGCACTGTCATCGCATTATTCGCGGGTGAAAGGGGACGCGCGAGTGTGTGTGTGTGCTTTTTTTCATACAGACGCACGTGACCGGCCGCGCGCGCTTTGTTTACAAAACAGCGGTAATTCGGAGAGTCGCCTTTTTCTCGGTCCCCCTCGCACAGCAGGTATATATTATACGTGCACACCCACACGTTGCGGCTGCTCGTGGCGCGTGTCAGTGGACTTTGATGCGATCGTGACGCTGATCGATGATAATCTCGCTGTCCCCTGCGTACGAGATGTTCGTTTCAATCTTCTCGGCTCATTGATTGGCTTCCATTGAAATATCCTCAAGCCAACAGTTTAGTTTCGAGCCTTTCGTATAATAATTGTATACACGATTGTGCCGTGCATACTCGGAGTCTTCCGATCATATAGTGGGCTTTTTTTAAAGAGAGTATTTAAGACGTCTGGTTATACTCATATTTACGAATCGGACGTCAGGGAGAGAAAATTTTTAGATCAGCGAGCCCTGCCCTGGGCTGGTCTGAAATATCATCTTGTTTAATCGCACTGCAGCTGACAACGTGTTTACGGACAATTGCGTGATTTTTTATTCATCCAGACTGTTAATTATTTTACCATCTTACAATTCAAAGATGAGTTGAATAATAACTAAGAAAAAAAAAAAGAAAAAAAAAAGTAGAACAAGCCGAGTATGGTAAGGCGACGTAACAGTAGATACACCCTATGAGTTGAGAGGCTCGTGGAAAATTCACGTGCCTCAAAAAAACTACATAAAGTGAGGAGCAAAATATTGACAAGTGCGGTGATCCCAGGGTTGGGAATAAAAATCCACAAAAGTACGAGTCACCACGCATATATATACAAACCGAGCGACAAAAATCAACAGCTCGGACACGGGAGAGAGAAAGAATCCGTCGCGTCAGCGCTTGGGCTATTTATTCGTACGTATGTATGCACGAGGTGGAGAGAAAGAGCAACGAATCGACGGGAAAAGAGAGGCTGGCTTGTACATCAAAATTAGCCCTGACACCGTCCCCATCTTTTTTCACAATGTGCTCCTCTCCGTCTCGTTTCCCATCCACCGATCCGTTCTCTCTTGCTTTCCAGCACAACGGAGCTGGATAATATAGACCAAAGTTTTTTGCCTACAGCCCGACACGAGCGATAAAAAAAAATGGATTTTCCCGCAAACCTTTCCAGATGGGGCAGCGAGTCCCCCCACCCCCCATCGAAATCCACTTAGGGCGCCGTTCCCCCGCGAGAACATAACTTCGGCTCGAGAGCTTTTTTTCCCCTGCCATTGTGCAAAATCCACGAGGCGGTAGAACTACAACACGCCGTACACACCACGGCAACAGAGAGCGGCCCATAGAGTGCCGCGGTATCGGGTTCCCGACGCACGGGCAACATGGTTTTTCACCCCGAGGCCCTCTCCCGCCTCCATACGGGCCGTTTGTTTGCTCGAGCAACTACCTTTTTTTTTCCTTCCCTCTCGCCCAAAGCATCGCGGAATTAACGATTTGCCGAGCGGAAAAGACAACGCTCTCTCTCTTGCTTTTTTCCCCTTTACTCTTCCAATTTTGTTTACACGCGTGGCTGCTACTCCCCCCCCCCCGTACAGCCATGGTAAACTAATCCGACTGGCAAAAATAAACAAACTGGCGAAAATTAAAAAAATCTCCTGCTTACCCATATTTCATATTAATTGACGCAATGCAACGCTACATTTGCTCTCGCAAACGAGTTGTGTACCCAGCGCGAGTTAATTGAAGATGCATGCACGAAAACGACGCGCGTGAGAAGATTTTCGTGAGCGGGTGTGTATCGGGGCTCTGTTCCGGCTCAATCGGAGCATCCGAGTATTTATGAGCGGCGCGTGGAAGAAAAGGATAATAGAGCAGCAATGCCGTGGGGAGGGGGTGGATGAAAAAACTGCCGGGGACGCGGATTCGATGGGCTTTTGAATATTTCACGAGTCTCGTATATCGGAGGTGGCTGCCGGTGGGAAGAAATACCCCCTATTGGCCCCGGCTACGAGAATAATAGACCGCGCGGGTAAAAAGTCGATGAGGTTGGGATAACGAGTGTGTACCAGACTGGATATTTAGGGCGCCATTTACAGGGAATTTGGTATTTTGTGACGCGCCACGGTTAAGGCTTTTTTCCCCACTTTTTCAGGCCTACAATTATTTTTACAGGCAGATTGGGTATACACATATATGTACAACGAGATTTTATCAGCAGATGTAAATGATTTTCTTCACATACGTACCAATTCTAGCAAAACGATAATCATTCATATAATGATTCGAATATTAATCACATCTGCCATTAAGTGGGCTGAATACTTCATTCAGCCCATTAGAGTGCCCTTTTTTCTAAAACTCATGGCCCGCTAAATTGGCCCACAATCGTCGGGGCGATTCACCGAGTAGATGGCACCCCGTAGCCTCTTGACACGCGCATACGTGGTGATCTCAATTGTTTTCTCTTCTCTTCGGCTATTTCGATCTCCAGGGAGGAGGTACCACCTACGGGCACGAAAATACAGTCCGACCATAAAGCGAATTTATGTCACCCGTGCACGAAGAAGGGTTGCCGGGAAGAAGGGCTGGGGCGTGAAAAAACGCACAGCTTAACCAACTTCTCTCTACGCGGACTCGATGTTTTCGGTGTCAATCAAAGTATCGGCAGAGGAGGAGGAGAACGTCGCGTGTGATTTAGCTATCGATTTATTCCGCCGAGCCCGAGTTAAACGAGGAGCTCACTCGGGGATTTTTTTGAATGGCGTGGACTTGGCCGAAAGAATTGAATGGTTGACGAATGAAAGAAAAAAAAATGCGTGAGAAATCGGAGCCAATTGAAGGTCAGAGCGCAGAGGAAGAGGAGGACACAGGAGGAACATGTGTTGTATGGGTGGCGCTGATTGATCCACTGGTCACCGTCTCTGGAGCAGATAAACAAGATTTTTCGGCCCAACGCCCAACTCCGGCCTGTCAACTCGATATGCCTTCATGAGTGCATATTTAAAATTTTTGTTTGAAAGCTCGAGAAAAAAGATCTCAATGCACTCGTTGGCCAGTAATAGTTTTTTTATTTGTAGTTTTCCTCGATTTCATTCGACCTTTGAAAGAAAAACCTGCCTCAAGATCACACCTTTTGTTCAAAAAAACAACAGCAAAAAAAAAAAAAAAAGAAATTTTACGAGTCGTACCCACATACATTTTTATTCTCATTGTCTACGTGTTTATGCCAGTTATGCTCTCGCAAGTTACTTGGGCTCATTAGCTAATCTGGCCATTGAATCCAGTTGACATGACCTACATTGATTGCACGTTCTTGTAAAAGTAAGTCGTGGACATCAATTCATTTAAAACGATACACATTGCACATCCAAAGAAGCTTCAGCAGTAGTCACTCTCACTTTCGACTATACGGAGCGGCAAAGCTAGAGCGCCAGTGGTACAGCTACCCGCAGCGAAACGGGTATCGCCTCGGCCACGGAGTTACTTTGCCTTTCGTCGTTCTGGCCAAGAGCCAATTACACCGCTGCTTCCCTCCTACAGATCCCGGTAACATGGCTCACGCGAGGTACATTACACCTCTGACGTATTGTCAGCGTATCGGTGGAAATGATCATCCGCACGTGGAGCTTTTTTCTGTACCTTACACACACGCACGCGTATAACGAAGGACGTTTCATCTGATTTTCATCGCCTTGCGCTCTTGTGTAGGAAAAGCTCAAGGTGCTAAGTGTTGCTTAGCTTAAATCGAGCCGTGTAAATGGTCGGACCAAGTCACGTTGCTGCACGTGCTCTTATCATGTTATTAGAGGTGAATTTGTAAGTGACAAAAGTATTTTGCCTCGAGTGCGCGAATACACGGAGTAGCGAGTGATTTATTTCTCGGCCACGTGTATTTCTCACCAACGCGCGTATACGTATACCTTATGAGAAAGTGAAAATTATCAAACGGTCCGTCGAAAGATCACCGCGATAAATCAAGAATTAATTGAACAGGTGGTGCAGAAGCAGGACAGAATAAACAGACTCGGTCGCCGGGAGTTGCTCGCTTGGCTGGGGTATGACGCATGTACATATATGTATTGTTGCGGAGGTGTGCCAAGAACCATCAAGTTATACGCGCAAATCTCCGTATTTCTGGCCATTGTGCACGGACGAAATCGATGTATTGTATGGTCCATGGGTTTTCGTTATATCCTCGTAAAAACATTCATCGCTCCCGAAGAACATCTGTTTCCAAGGTAACCTGAATGCTTTTACAACGTTACACTGAGAGAAAAATATGGTAAAAATTACTGTGCTAGAATGGTAATCTGGTATTGTTCGACCATTTATAGAGACTTTTTGCTATGTGAACAATCATTTTTAGTGTTTAGGACAGTGATTTTTGTTGTAAGTACAGTTTTTACTGTTTGTCCAAGAGAAATTACTGTCCGGAATATTGGTGAAAACTAGATTGCTAGTCTCGAAGTAAAAAGTCCCTAGACGGCGGAATGACACCAGATTACCATTCCAGTACAGTAATTTTTATGATATTTTTCTCTCAGTGTATATATTTGAATATTAAAAAAATACAAATGTACAAATAAACACGTGCATAGACACCGCCTTACCACATCGGACCCGATCTACTGGCTCAACGAAAATTAATAACGCCGTGCTTGTTCTCGGAAAGCTCCCAAAGGCAAACATCAATTTCCCGCCGCAGCCTCGATCTCCCGCGCACCCTCGCACTCTTTCACGACGGAGTCGAATTTCACGTGTATACACAAATCAAAAGCTCGAATACAATACGAGCGACTGTCCGCTCGACAAGTAGGCATATATGTACGTACGCACAGCGTCAGCGTGATATTACGCGCGCCGTTAGACTCGCTTCGTAAATTACAATAATAAATCGAGCTGCTCTTCAATCAGCCGCGTCTGGTGATGCGCTTCGTGCTAATAATCATCATCTTTGGCACTGGACGCAGGCGCCACTTGGACTGGAGATGAAAATGGCCCCCTGTAATGCTCGGGACAGCTTATCTGGCGGTTGGTCGAGGAATTATAAATAGAAGCGAGCGAGGGGACCCATCGAGGTGATCGCTTGCGATTGCTTTTTGTTTCCATTGTCGTTGCAGTTAAAAGGGCCGCTGCGCGAGGTGAATTAAATATTCAAGTCCCGAGACAACGAGACACCTTCCCTCCTCTTCTGCCGATAAGATGTATAGTGCTAAAGAGATATGAAAAAAAAAACATCTCGTTCTACCGAAGTGACGCGCAACTCCGCATGTAAGTACACCACGTCCTTCCCTCCGCTCGCAGCAAGAAAAGTCCTCCACGTGTTTATCCTCATCTACTGTATACAGCCAGTTTTATGGACGATAGAGCAGTATCGGGTAGATTTGTCATAAACCTGCGAGCAATGTACCCAAGTATGGCTTTTCCCTCCAATATGTCGTACTTGCAGTTGTTTTAAAGATAGGATGGGCGCACGTACTATGAAAAGGATGCGCAATCACCGCGTGTAACCACTCGAAGGGGGGTAAAAACAATCGAGAAGATCACGTCTGATTCTTTTATTTATTTTTTTTTTCATCCCCGACGAAGCACGGACAAGCGGTAGTACGTGCCCATGGGATTGATAAATGCCGAATCGCTACTCGGACCATTCGTATCAATTCCATCCGACGCCGAGCCTCGGTCCAAAAGCGGAGGAGGAAAAAAAATTCTCACTCTGCCTCTCTGATTTGTGATACTTACACCTCCCCGCTCTTGTTCCCGATACGCGAGATATTGAACGTCGATTTCAATTCAGCGAAAATGTGTACCTCGTAAGGGAAGTGTGATGTATTGTGGATCCCTGCACCCCAAGAGTGAATTTCATATGGTTTTTTTCCCCCCCAATCCAACCAATGAAAAATCGGGACAAATCGAGCGAAAAATCACTCTCAAGCTCAGGGGGATGAGTCTCTCTCGATAGACTTTATTCCATTATCGGCTCGCACTTTTACGGGGGCACGCATTAGCATAACTACGTCTCCCCTCGAGGGTACAACGGAAGGGAAGGATAACCGGCTCGCTTTCACTCGCAGAGCGCCATCTCGTTTCCTCGGTAATGATGATTTTAAACAACGGACCCCTTTACGGCTGAATTGAAACGTAACGCCCGAGGTTGGCTTTTTTTCTCGAATCGCGTTGAAAGTGTACACCCTAGACTCGTCAGATCGGGGCTAAAGTGTTGTAGCCGAGGACACAAATACATGCTGGATCGAAAACGTATAGACAATACACGTGTAAGTCATCCACCGCATACGTTACAGATGCCCCAGCTGGTGTAAAGGTTTACCACGATAACTCGTGAATAAGCGCAAACGAACACCCCCCGAGAGTTGGAGAGAGAGAGAAAGTCGCTTTACAGTATATATATGTGCAATGCACCTGCTGGTCCTGAGGTACAACGTGAGAATAACCGGGTGATTAAACTGGCATCATATGTTTTTAAGGTGATTTATTTTCGTTATCCACAACTACAGTGGCTTATTACCTTGAAGTTCAATAAAGTGAACGCACAAGTGTGTATTATCACATGCACTGGATTATTTATTTCGATCGTATTATTAATTCAAGTTTATACCGAACGCGCGGTTGGATGCTTTTCCGGTTGCACTCAATCATCACAATTTTCTATAAATTTAAAGGTTGATCGTTTCGTTGCTTTTGAATAGGACAATTGGCAGCCGAATCATTGGTTTCTACACCTATATTGGCAAATAATTTAAAGTTTGGTGATTCACCTGCATTATATACGTGCATTGATCAACGCACCCGCTGCGTTTTGTCAGTAATTCGCGAATCATCCGTTTGTCCCCATTAAAACAATTCATTATTTACAGCTGGTGATGCAAAAAAACAAAAGTATTTTTTCTCCCGCCGTCTCAGCCAAGCTTAATACGTTTAGTAGGAAAAAATCCACAAAGTTGGGAAGTCTGTAACTTCTTTTTACAGACGTGCACATGTACAAACAATCGTAGAGCAAAAAAGGTTATTACTCTCGACTGCCTTTGCGCTGCGGCTGTCGGCACAACTGTGCGATATTCGTTTATTTTCAGTTAGAGGGCAACTTGCCAAACTTCATACGTTAATCGAACAAATTATTATTTCCCGCGGAGCGTAGTTCTTTCTGTTGTTGTGCTGGCTCGAGTTTCATGTTGCACCAAATATAATATACGCACCGGCTATAGGACGCAACTTCGTTGTCTCCGTGAAACTAATGTAATTGCGGGCCTCTCGGGATTTATTTTCGTCAAGTCTCGTTTTGCTCCGCGTCGCCGATTTCGCGCGTCCGAGTGCCAAAGGATGGGCCGCGTTCGTCGTATACTGTGTAAAACACGGGCCACGAAGGCTCATTTGTTCGTCCATCGGAGCTCATTAGTCCGGACATGAAACGGAAAAACCGGTAAAACCATCAAGCCGATCTCCGCTTTATTAAATTGAGAAAACTAGTGTATAAATGTAATACGTAATTGCCGGCAACAGGTCAGGAAGCGCTGTAGAGACGGACAGTGAAGAAACGGACCCGTCGAAGAAACCTGTGGCTCTTTCGCTCTATTTCCATATCACGTGTACGAATGTAGCACGAGTATCTGCAGATTACGCCGATGTTATCGCACGCGTACAATACCAACCATCTGCATTCTCTACACATGTGTAAATTCGCGTGTCACTGGATGTAGGTAGGCAACATATATTTTTCCACGGAGAATCACGATCAGCCACAGCGTCTTTGTCGGAGGCAGGGCGTATTCCTCTCCGTTTCACAGGAATTACGCAACGAGTCGACTGTATCCGCGTGCTCCTTGGCCAATGAAATCGGAGATGCCTTGCAAGATCCGTCGCAACTCCGAGCGGATGTTATCGAATCCATCCTCCAAACTCTCATCCCTTGGACCTCTGATTTAGCAGAGAACAAAAGCAGGTCAATTTTTAAAATTAATATATGCCAACGAGATTTAATTACTTTTTTTATAGCTTCAGAACGTACGTTTATTCAACAGGGAATGGCATCAAAACTCACGAAACAAAAACCATCCAGAACAACGAATTCTGAAATATCTTTGACAAATTCGAAACTGATTTTAATGGTAATATTTAAAACAGGTAAACTTTTTTTTTTTTAATTTGTAATAAATTTNTTTTTTTTTAGTAGAGGAAGATATTTCGAAAATTAGCTCGCAAGAGGAGGCTCTGGGTGAAGATCACGAACTCCCTGTGACCTACTTCCGTGGGTGTACACCACACTATCTATGACGCGCTATGCTACTCCAAGGCTCGTTATAAAACCCAGGGAAGATTCGTACCCACTCTCCCTCTATAGCTGCAACGAGTTTCGAAAGAGCTCGATAAACACTTTTTATGATGATCGTTAAACCGCTCGTTGGCGCTAATTAACGCCACTCCGTTATCATTTGTCCAACCCAAAGAAATTATTCTCACCATAGAAATACGCGAGGTATCATATGTATGTGTAATCACGTGACATTGAGATTATGAAGGATAATTCGAGGTTTCTCGTTGCAGAGCGATGCTGGGTCTTACAGAACGAGATCGGGCATCGGCGGTGGCGGCAACGCTTTTGGAAGGAGTACGCCCACGGGAGGCAGCTTCGGCACTTACAGGAATAATTACACCGGCATCGGATCGGTTTCCATGAGGACGACACCGACCAAGGAACGAAGTATTGGTGTTTCTTACGGTACAAGATCAAAATGCTATTACACTATTGTCATTATTTTATTTTTTCATGATGTGAATCATTTGAAATCGGTCCACTGGATAATTGAACGAACAAGTCCCAAACTCACGTTTCAGCAAACAGAGGCACGGAAAAAGAAAGGTCGACCCCAATCAGTACCAGTGGCAACAAGGTGTCGACCGGCGACTCGCGGCCAACGAGTCGGTGCTCCAGCCGAGCCAGTACCTCGTCCTACCTGGGCAGCTCCAACTCGTACTCGGAGTACGGCAAGGAGCCCCTCGCCTACCGAGGCCTGCGAGCCGCCAGCGTCGAGCCCTGCGGCACAAAGACCGGGGCCTACCGAGTCACCTACAGCCGCACTCCCACTTTCGGCAGAAGCGCCAATTCCCCAAGTGAGCCACGACCCTCATTTTAAAGAAACAATCGTTGAACCTCGCACATGACCCCAACCGAAATTCGTTTCATCCGTTTCAGGTGCGGTCGAGTCCATCTCGTCTGGCTCTTCGGCGACCCTACCGAGGTACACTGGCTCGTCGACAAGCGCGCGCTACTCCCTGCCCGCGCGAAGCAATCCCGAGCGGCTGACCACCAGCATCGGCTACGCAGGACCGGAAAATTTTCACAGCCCCGTCGCCAAGGCACCCGCCTCTCCGGCTCCTCCCCCTCATGACGACATTCCCAGCAAAGCCCAGCAGCAGCGAGATGAGAGCCCGAGCGAGGGGAAAAAGGATGATTATAACAGCAATGGACAACACAACGGCAACGAGGATGATGACGTGATGGTGATATGTGTGGTGATGCGGGGCACGTCGCCGACCCCACCGCCCGCGCTGACCGCCTTTACGAGGACCCGGAGACTCGAGCCCATACCAAAGCCCGTGAGGCGGGAGGTGCGCAGGTCCGAGTACAGCAAGAAGATCGTCCAGGAGCAGGAACAGCAGACCGAGCGCTCGGACGACTCGTCGACCTGCCGGGAGTCGAGGTACTCGAGGTACAGCGGCGCCAACAGCAGAGTGCCCTGGGTCTCGTCGTACCTGGAAAAATTCACGGGCAGTCCCTCGAGCGGCCCCTGCGCCGCCTCCCCACCGCGTGCCAGTCTCGGGAACCGTGGCTACGGCTACTCGTCCAAGGACAGCAGCTCCTCGAGGTCGACTCCCTCGTCGACCCACGAGCAACACGGGGACCAGCAGCAGCGCAGCCGGAGCAGCTCGAGCTCGGGCCCATCGAGAGCCAGTGCCAGCCGTGCCCCGTCGCCCAAGGTGGCCAGCCAAAGTGAGGGCAGGTCGTCGTCGAGCCGCGAGAGGTCACCGAGGGTCCCCGAGGGCCAAGATCGGGGGGAGTCCTTGAGTCGAGCCTCGGACACTAGTGGCAGCTGCGCTTCCGCGAGCAGCAAACCCGGCAGCGTGTCGAGGAGTGGATCCCTCAAGTCCGCCGTCGGCGTGCCAACTGGTGGCTCTCTCAGATCGGCCGGTGGCAAGCTTGCGTCGTCGTCGTCATCATCGTCGTCTTCGGCCAACAACAGCGGCAGTGGTGGCGCAGCGCCGGTGACCAAAATAAAATCGGCCGGTACCACCACCAGCAGCAGTAGCAACGTTAGCAGCTGCGGCACGAGCAGTGGCCTGCCGTCGTCGATTTCGGGTGGCAAGTGCGGCGCCAGCCTCATCCCGGCTGGACCAGCGTCAGTGGGCTCGCGCCAAGCCGCGCCGTCGGACGCCCGCAAGCCCCCGGTGCCCAAGATCCCCGAGATGGTCGGGAAGAACACGGTGACAGTGGCCACGGCCAACAACAGCTCGGGCAAGTACGTCAACAAGGACTTCCGCAAGTCCGCCCTGAACATGGAAAACGGTGATCCCTCGAGGTCCCAGGTGGCCGAGCGCAAGCAGCACAAAAAGTGCCAGAGGAGCGTGTCGGCGAGCTCGCAGGACTCCCAGTCCGAGGCGTCGATCAGGTCGTCCAACAGATCGTCGCCCTCCCCGACCAAGTCTACCCCCCGAGCGCCCTCGTCCTCACCGTCCAACAAATCGTCCAAGGGCGACCAGAAGAGTTCGGGGATCGACGTGCGGAGGAGAAGCACCTGCTCGCAGTCCCCCTCGCCGGGCAAGAACAAACTGACCAGGTCGCCTGTCTCTACGTCCGAGTGCAGCTCTTCCGAGTCGTCCAACGACAACAGCGAAGAGGAGGGGGAGGAGATCGGAGAGTCCAAACCAGGAGTGAAGAGGGCGAGAAGCCGGGCTCAGGTGAGCAGGTGTTCGTCGAGGACGAGCGTCCTGGCGTCCTCGGCGGACGAGTTGTCGGCGGACAGTAGGCCGCCAAAGCCACCCCCGAGTCCGCGCGCGTCGGGAAACAAGAGTAGCGGTGGCAGCCAAGAGGAGACCAAGTCGTTCCTCGCGAGGGCCTTGGGCCCCGTGGCCGGTCTGTTCAAGAGCCAGGAGAGCGGCCCGGAGATCGAAAACGGTGGCTGGGCGGACGTGGGCAGCGAGGAGCACTCCGACTCGGGCAGGAACAACGGCTCCAGGGGTCCAGGCAGTGCCGAGAGGAAGCGGAGCGCGAGGTATCAGTCGTCCGAGGAGAAGCCGTGGTGGCTGGATCCGAACTCGGACAACGTGCCCGAGGGCGTTGACAAACATCCCAACGACGACGTCAGCCAGGACACGACCGTCAGCACGACCCTCCCCGACGACGGTAAGAACACAATGGCCGTTCGAGGATGTCATTTTTTTGTGAAAGTATTCGGTGTTTACGATGCTGCTGTAGGCGATGGGACACGTGTTAAAAACTTTTGGCAGCCCGCCAAGACGACCGATGCGCGGGGCATCAATTTTTTTCGATTATAACGACTATTTCGTTCTTGACTTCCGGTCTTACCACCAAATTCCAGATTTTGTCATGTAGGCGCGCTTTTTTGTCCTTGCATGTACACCAATTTACTTTGGTAAAAGCGCAAAACGCGCGGAGTGTAAATCAACGATCAAAGTACTGTAGCCTCGCAATGGAGAGGTCCTGCTATAGTTCCAGTTTCCACGAGCCTCATCGGCTCTGAGAACTCGGGATGAATAGTCAATGAAAATACGCGCGAGTAATCGAGCTCGCGTTAGCCCACTTTTTGGCAAATGCGCTAGGACACACACGCACGCACACGTTGGTACACAATCGCCCGTGAGTCACATCACGCGGTCGTTATGGGGAAGAGGTGGAGCGCGTCGTCATCGTGACACGCTCTCTCTCTCTCTCTCGCCCTGTTATGTTTGTTTTAATACGCGCGGAGCCCCAAAAATAATTACAGTGGACTCAATAAGAGCGGTAACCCGTTGAGCGGCCGCGTCCATCGGCGCTGAAAACAATAATGCACCGATTCAGCTGGTATTCCGTGTCTGGCAAACGGGCCAAAGTAATACTGTTTCTCAATCACCGGTGCAAATACGTTGGTGTACTTAAATAAACGAACACGAGAGAAAAGAAAAAAAAAAGAAAATACAATAAAGAGGTAAAAAATTAACTTACAGGGAATTTCAAGTTCAAAGTCTGGCGACAGGAGTCGGGGGAGCGCGCCTGGTGGCTGGACGACAACGACGATAACAACAACATTCCCGAGGACGAGCCGTCGATCGGCTGCCCAAACAACAGCAGCGGCCGCAAGGGCTCGTCGCGGTGCTCCTCCAAGAGCCAAAGAGCCGAGCGCGCCAACCGGCTGAGGCACCAGCAGTCGGGCGAGCGGGCCTGGTGGATGACCGACGACCCGGACAACGTGCCCGAGGGCGTGGAAGTCATCCCCGTCTCCTCGTCCGCTCGGGAGGAGCCCGCTGGCGAGGTGCCGATCGGCAAGCGGATCCGGCACATCGAGTCCGGCGAGGAGCCCTGGTGGATGATGGACGACGCCTCCTCGGCTCCCGATGGCGTGCGGCTACTACCTCCCGAGCCGGCCAGCACCTCCGACTCGTCCGAGTCGTTCGAGCGCCTCGAGATCGGACTACCTACCACCGACCTCCTCGCTAGATTCCCCGTTGAGGACCAGCCGCTCGGCCACCGCGCCAGTCCCGAAGGGGTACGGCTCTTCCAGGTGCTTTCCCCCTCGCTTTACTTAAAAACGCCGACGGCTCCACTGGGAGTGTACAATATCCCCATTTTGTCTCGGTATCGGTACAAAATGGGACACGCCACTCTTTTGTTTCCACGTGGAGGCCGTCGACGCTCGCTCATCTAGCTATTCTCCATTGCCGTCTATGAATTTCTACACAAAGGAGCAGTACAGAATCCTCGGTTTCAGATCGAGAGCCCGCCAGAGCCGCCGGACCGTAGCTCGCCGTACGACAACGTGTCGAGCGAGGCGGTGCCGTCGCCGCGTCAGACGCCGCCGAGGAGATCGGCACCGCGCAAGAGGCCGGCCAACCTGCCGCTGTTCATCGGCGCCCACACGAACATCGACGATCTGTTGGGCAACGAGGACGACCTCAGCCGTACCACCGACCCGTCGAGCGCCGGTAGCACCAAGAGACAGCAGCGAGGTATCGATACAGTCAAATTTCTCTTATAGGGTACCCCCCCGGACACAAACTCCGATTGATCTTTATGTGGTACACGGTGGAAGAGAGGCGCGCGCTACTTACTTCCCGAAAGGAAAGTGACTCTCTCGGGTGTATAATGCACATCAGCCGGACGAGTTGGAACCCACTGACGTCAGCGGGGGGACAATAATCGCGTCTCGTATACGCGTGTGTACTCGCGAAGCGCGCCCTTCACCATTATATACGTATATACAGGTATTATTATTCCGTGGTAATGATTCTATTGAGTCGATGCGTACGTACCTGTCAGCCGGAGAGGCCCGTTGAAGAGGCTCGCCCGATTTTTAAAGCACAGCTCTCTCTCTCTCGGTCCAAGGCCGATGCACTCGGGGAGTCGATGAAAGTATCGAGCCTCTTCTCCGTTGTTTCGGTTTTCCCCCTTCAAAGAGGCGTCAAATTAAAATTGAAACGCTTGGCTGTAGAGCCTAACTGACCCCTTTGCGCTGCTCTCGATTTTGTAATTGAAAACGCGAGGCTTGACGATGGAGAACTAAAACAAGCCCAAACCGATTACCGATTTCCCTTTGCGTCGAGAGCGGCACATTATAATCTGGACAACGCCGAGGCTAGCTCACGTGACTTTTTGTTGCAGATGTGCCGGACAGGGTGAAAAAGGACGAGGAGGTGTGCGAGGAGATAGACGCAACGCAAGTGATTATTCACGACAGCACGCCCCAGACGCCGGTCATCAAGCGAAGACACAGGCTAGTACCTATACCTTTCCCATGATCGCAAAATACGACACACGGACTCTGTAAATTTTAATCTGCTCCTTTTTTTTTTTTTTCAAACCCAGTTAGCACTTTATTTTATATGTACATTGTAAAACTTTGTAAATTAAAGTAAGATGAGAAATTTCGTTGTATTCATCGGTAGAGTTTAAAATATGTCAGTACAAATGGGTCTAGTGGCAGAGTCACGATCTAACGACACCTCGGGTGTTGGTGCCTCGGTAATGGCGAGTAAAAGAAAGTTGTAAAGTTATGTCAGCTCCTTGTCGAACCATAGAGACTCTAAAATTGAAGTGAGTTTATGCGTAATCCAAGCGAGGCATGTATTTTTTTTTCTTGTGCTAGAATACTCATCCAGTGACAGCTGCAGTTATCAGCTGCCTTCAATGTTCCTTTCCTCGATCGCGAGATTTTCTGTAAGAAATTTCGAGGTAGCAGCATTATCGGGGAATCGTTTGTTTCGTTTCAAAAGAGCGACTGACTTTGTGAACCAACAAATAAAATGAAATCAAAGTTTAATTCGATGAAAATCAACTAACTTGGATAAACGGACAAACAAGTTCAGGATAATCACAGTAGCTCATACGTCATACACGATGGCCTGCATTTAAGGACCATTTTTGGACCAAGTCCCGTGTACTTTTAAAATAAAATCAAGCTCTCCAGTTTCGCATATTCCTCCTGCTATCGATGCCATACCTAAACCCTTTATTTTTTTTTGTTACAGGGACGGTGACTGGCCACAACCCGACGGCTACATTCCGGTAAGAGAGCCTTTGCTTCCTCGACAAGCTCTTACACTTGTTTTATTTTTACTCCATGTGTGTGTGTGTGTGTGTGGATACCTATACCGCGTACAATATCCTCGCGCGTGGATGTATCATATACTTACGTATCCACTACTGCAGTTGTAATACAAAAGCATCAGATACGCGAGCGTATGGGTAAAAATAACATAAACTAGCGAGGAAGCATCACCGGAAGGATGTGAACGATTGACGCTTTATAGTATTATATATAGTACTGTCTCGTATATATAATACAACTATATGACAGTTGTACACTGCGACCGCTGACTATGCATGGGCATGTATATACGATAAGGCTTGTTGCCGTTTGAAGAGGATTCACGGGTTTTATGGACACGCGCCCAACCACCCCACTTTTACTGCTCCTTACTCGTCCCTGGCTTCCTCATATACTTTATTTGAAGGAGAAGAAAATTTTTTGCGAAAAACCCATGCTGGCGTCATTTTAAGTTTTTGTTTCAACGTTTTATGATTAAATTTTAAGTTGCACCTACAGCAAAGTTGCATACCGATAGGGTGAATTTGAAAATTTGCACACATAAAGTGTTGAGGAGTTTGGCACGTTGGTAGGCAACCGAGAGACATAATATTTACCTGCGCAGGAAAAAAATCCCACAAAAGTTACCGACTTGCTTTTCACCCAATATTCACCCACGGAGCTGTAAAATGTATAGCCAAGCAAATGTTTAAACATCGCATGTCATCAAAAAAAAATATTTCCCATATGTGCACACTTGTACATCCATACAAGTCTATTTCACAGCCGCATCCGCGGCATACCCCCAACTGGTGCATTATATATATATATACAGATAGGACGACGACACGCGCTCGTAGCTCATTACTCGCAGCGACGTATTTATGACTCTCGCAGGGGCTCTGCTGCTGTGAGTGCGTATCCCATATAGCTCGACGCTGCGGTAATTCGCAATCCTACCAGGTTCTGATTTATCGGGCCCCGCGCGTGCGAGTAAAACATTGTGTTTTCAGGCTGTTTCGCCAATTAAAAGAGCCAATCCGTGCGTTTGAGGAGCCAATAACCAGCTGTCTCCGATGAGGGATACTTTTCTTCCCCCGATACCGATGCCGTGTGTCATTCCCGTGATGTATGGGGTTTTTGTGATTTACCGGGGAGTTGTTTTTTTTTTTTTTTGGCCTTTTTCATGGAAGTAGAGAAGCAACTGGTACGTACGAGTTGTTATACATTACAAGCGAAGGGGGCAAAGAATGGCACTTTCGAGTTTTTTATCGGCAGGGAAACCCGCATCATGACGGAATACCACACACATACTTACGAGTTTTCAAGTATATTTATTGTCATTAAAGTAATGCAAGATGAGGGCTACGAGCGATAGAAATGATGTGTAATACCTGCGTAGTCTAGTGCAAGGACCAAAAACCAATCAGGGGTGAGAAAAACTGTGATTTTTAGGACTGAAAGTTTTCGAAAATTTTCTAGTTTGAAATCTAAAGTTACGTTGTGTGGACGGGTAGGTAGACGATACACTGCACCAACAGTCCCCCTACCCACTGTTGTAGCAAAAAAATGTCTTTGGCAGACAGTTCGTGCCTTACTTACCATGACTAAAGAGAGAGAGAGAGAGAGGGAGTGCGTGAGGTGCACAAGCCCATCAGCCTTTGTTTCCGATTTCGCGAGGGCGATACGCCCGTGAGATAACGCCCTTTTCAGTGCGCGTAGACCCAGACGTGTGCTCCTTCGTTGTGTGCACTGTCTAGCATTTTACCCTCCTCCCTCTCTCTCCCTCTCCAAAGCGCGTTTAGCGTGTTAACAGAGAGCATCTGCAGCAGCAGCTTTTATGTTGCACGTACATGATCTCCGCGTTTCGTTTTTGCTTTTTCGTTGCTATACTGCAGCTGGTACAAAACCAAAAGAAACTTGCCCCCTCTGGACGTCGTCCCGAGAGCTGTTGGTGCCCGATTAGTCGTTTTACTCTTCGGAGCTTACGCCGTTCGCCAACGTGACTTTATCTCTGTTTGGGCTTCAAATGTGTACTTTTATAATAAAACATATTTACAATTGACAGCTTAACTCGTGCACGTAACATCTTCCTCGTTACAACGTCCAAGGAGATAACGGCACCGGCAGTATTTATTACCTGATTTCACCCACCCGATTGTGCAACTGCCAATAAAAAGCTCGGGCTGAGCAAAACCATACAAAATCTCTCGAGACCGTCTTGTCTATTACGAGACAAGAGAGAAACAAAAATAACAACCGCGACATACTAGCACACGTGTGTGGTGCTCGCGTCGAACGCACTTGGTCACGTGGCGAGGCCACTTGGGTGTTATTCGCCTGCTGGAGGGTGTGCGTTGGGCCCTTTGTCTGCGGGAGGGCGTGCAGTGACGTGCACCTTCGTTTGGACGAGCTCGAGGAGCAAAGTGCCTCGCTCGTGTTGGGTGTATACGTGTCGCGGCAGCTGATTATTTTTTCACCGCACAATTACCGCAGCCGCCGCTGACGACAACGACGATTGTCAATTTTTTTTTTTTTTTTTTTTTTTTTTTTTTTTTTTTTTTACTGCTGGGTATCTCTATGCACTGTATCTATGATGTTACGTTCTTCTTTTTCGTTGGCTCTTTGTTGAGCTTATTTTTTTCTCAACTGGTTACGTGCATCGAGTTTTTGTGTCTTTACTAAGTACATTATGTGCAAGGTAAATATTGTAATTCCTCGGCTGGTGCACGATAAAAATTTATACAATGCGTATGGCATTAGAGATAAAAAAAAGTAGCGTTTCAAGTACTATCGAGCCAGTGGTGCGCGTATCCTTCGCTTGCCTGGTGAGTGTGTTTGTCTTGCCTGACCGGCACCACCGGAAGGACTAAACCAGGACGAGTAGAGAAGTGTCGAGAGAGTACAATAAAAGCTTTTTTTTTTTAAAAATGTAAAATTTTACTTTTTCTTCCAAGTGTCGGCAGTTGAGATGGGCTACATTTTTTTTTTTTACTTTACAACGATCGTTCGTTTTTTTTTTTGTTTTTTTTTTTGTTTCCTTATAATTATTATCGTTCTTTCGCATGTGATGGCAATAATAACGCGCCATTATATAAGTCAATGTAATAAGGTGAGCAAAAGTGCACACTGCCGCTTTTGACTTCGTGGGAGTTTCAGTGCCGCTCGCACCTCTGATCTAAAGTAACGTCCAACCGGTGATTACGTACAGCGGCTTCGCACCGAATTCAAGTAAGTAGCGCACTAATTACAATTATTTGCTATCATCTAATGAAATGAAATGAAAAAAAAAATGTTTTTTTTTTTTTTAACGAACCTTCCTTACGAAAATCATTAAATACTCCATATGTGGTCCAAGACATGGTGACTCGAGCGTTGGCGTTGTTGCTCTTTATTGCGCTAGTTTGTGCATACGAGGACGCGCCATTTGTCGTAACGCCATTAGGTTCCGTCGTTGGCTACTACAAGACCTCGTACAAGGGCCGAAGGTACGAGGTCTACGAGGGAATCCCCTACGCCGAGCCACCGGTGAACCAGTCACGCTTCGAGGTACTTTTACATTAATCGATAAACGTACCGCGTACATACCAGTAAAACATGTACACGTGGGCCAAAAATCTCAGGAGGCGGTGCCGTTTTCCACCCCGTGGGGCCAATTGGACGCGAGAAAAGCCAAATCACCCTGCGCCCAATACGTCGACGTGCCAGCCGATGAAAACGGACAGACAGTCACGGAGGGCCGTGTCAACGGGGAAGACGATTGTTTGTACTTGAACATCAACGTGCCGGTCGTCGCTAGATACAGACCGCGAGGAATGCCCGTTGTGTTTTTCATTCACGGGGGCTCGTTTCAATACGGCAGTGGATCGTCCTTTGCCGAAAACAACATCTACATGATGGACAGGGACGTCGTTTTCGTCTCCATAAACTATCGGCTCGGAGTGCAAGGTATACACTTACTTGAATCGAATGGAAATTACGACAAATGAAAAGGGAAACAACGATAACCATACACGTATGACATTATGACGCGATAAAAATGATGGAGCGCAAGTTTTTGTGCCCATATATTATGGTATCGTGTGTACTTTTGTACGAAAAAAAAGAAAAAAACCATAAGATGGCTTCTTTGCACGTGCCCTCGAAAAAGGCTTCCTGAGCACGGAGGATGAAGTCCTACCGGGAAACCTCGGCCTGAAGGACCAAAGCCTGGCCCTACAGTGGACCGCGGATAACATCGGCCACTTTGGCGGCGACCCCCGGAAAATCACCCTCGTGGGCTTCAGCGCGGGTGGCTCCAGCGTCCAGTACCACTACCTGTCGCCCCGAAGCCGGGGTCTCTTCCACAGCGGCGTCGCCATCAGCGGGGCCGTCTTCAACCCCTGGGGCTTCACCACCCACGCTGCCGAGAAGGCCCGCAAGCTCGGTGCCATTTTCAACTGCCCCACCCACGACTCGCGCCCCATGGTGGACTGCCTGAAGAAAGTACCGGCCCAAGATTTGGCCGCTGCCACCAAACATTTCCAAGTAACGCCTTTGATGCACGTACACCCAAGCCCTCGAACATTTTGCTCACGCGAACCGCTCCGGCTGTTGTCTAGTACTGGCAGTACATGCCCGAGGCCCCATTCGCCCCGGTGGTGGAAACGTCCGGCCCTCGTCCCTTTATCGACAAGTCGCCCGAGGACGTGGCTGAAGCGGGCGAGCTGTACGACGTGCCGATTGTCTTCAGCATCGTCAGCGAGGAGGGCTGCGACCCGGGATCAGGTTTATCTTCCTTCCTTAAAGGAGCCAATCACCGAGACCCCGTGAAACTCTCCCTTGACTTTATCCTTTCAGCCTACGCCCCGCACGACAATCTGCTGAAACAGCTGAACGACAACTGGACGGAGATAGCGCCCCACCTGCTGGAGTACAACTACACCCTGCCCGAGGAGGTGCACGAGAGGGTCGCGTTAGCCGCGAGGCGGAAGTACTTTGGCGACGGGGGTATCGACAATAATAGCACGCGCATATTGATTCGGTTGCTGACGGACGAGCAGTACTCGATCGGCATTGAGAAGAGCCTGCGCGTCCAGGCCGAGGAGTCGACGAGTCCCGTGTACTTTTACTACTACTCGTATCGGGGCTCCTCGAGCCGCAGCGAGCACCTCAGCCACACGAAGAACAACTACGGTACACCTATATATACATGCCCATCCGGGGAAGCGCTTCTATCGACTACATTTCTCTCTTCTGCCTCAGGTGTCTGTCACTGCGACGACGTGCTGATGGTGGTCGACAACTCGCAGCCCGGTAACAAAACCAAGGAGGAACTGGCCATGATCGATCTGCTGCTGGACGTGTGGGAGACTGTGGCCAAAGATGGGTTTGTCCTCCTGCGTACGAACGAGGAATCGGGGTGTTTTATTCCAAAGGGGTGGCTCAGGGGTGCGTTTTTCCTCTTTCAGAGTACCGAAACTCGGGGTGGAATGGCGGCCGGTTAACACGTCCAACCCGGAGATCGAGTACATGCACATTCGTGGACCCAAGGACTACGGCATGTCCGGGAGCGATAACTTTGGCAACAAGTACTTTTGGAACGAGTTCTTTGATCTCTTTTAGCCGTGCAAATGTCAGAAAATTGTACCCATACGCAGAGGTATGAGGAATGAAGTGTCGAGAGAGTACAATAAAAGCTTTTTTTTTTTAAAAATGTAAAATTTTACTCAAAGTCACGTCCGAGCTCGCGTCGCAAAGTACACGTACGTGTATAAGCGCACTCGACAATTTTCCCCGTGTCAACGCACCTTGGCCATTGTCGTCTGCGCTCCCTAGACTCTCTGCTTCTCGTTCTCGGGTGTACAAAAGCACGAGCCCTCCTGTACATACTTGACGCATCTCTACGAGTCTCTTTTTTTTTTTTTTTTTTTTTTTTTTCCAAAAAGTTGGGGTAGGCCGAGGTAGACGATGGAAGAGCCTTGTCGCACCCTCGCAGTGTGCAGTTGGACGTTCTCGGATCAAGTTTACAGTCACGGGCTAGCTTACATTATTTGTTTTTCCCATCACCGAGTGTTGATTCGATACGTTCGCCATAAGCTGTGCGATTTTTCGCGGATTTCTTTATCGAGTGTACCTTGCTTTCTTACCACTGTCATATTAGGAAAGGTTTGTACGTGTACGTGTCACTTTTTTAAAGATTTTTTTTCTCCAATTTGGTTGATACTTAGAGTAATTTGTCTCCGATTCTCTTGGATATTTTTCTCAACGACGACACTTTCGAAATTTTACAAAGCGTCCAACTCAAGTAGTACGGAGTTTTGGGTAAAAAACGGTTATTCCGTTCTGGAATTCATTTATTGACGTATGGGAGTTTTCAATTATTTTTCTTTTGCAAATAAACGCGTTCATTAAGTGCATTGATAGTATATGTATAAATATACCCACTTTTCAAAGTGTTACTTCCAAAGTTGTTTTTGGCACTCATTAGCATGCGTAAAGTAACTGCAATTCTTAGACGCTTTTGGCCATTCATTCGGAAAAGAAAGAATGTCATAAATTTCTACCGTACTCGCACGTTGTGGGTCTCGATAACAAAATTAGACAATGCATCATCAAAACACATGTGCGACGCCACCTCCGACACACAACTTTCCGCTCGTCCGCCAGCAAAATCGTTTCGCGCGGAAACAGCACTTTTTACCTATGTGTGCACACGATATGCAACCTCGAGCTCGCACACAGTGCGCCGTTCACACGTCCATCCGCAAATATAGCCCGTGGAGGAAGAAAGCTCCGGGCTCGTGTGTGCGCGTGAAATAAGTTCAACTCCACCTCCACCGACACTTTTTCTATTCACTCCTTGGCAAAGCGCCGAGGCGCCCGCGCACGCGAAACCCGAGACAATCTCGCTCCGGAAAAATATCAAACTAACGCGCTGCCGTTGGGGGAAGAACATTGGCCGGAATTAGATGTGTGTGTACGTGTGTTTCTCTCTCCGGTGAATTATGTCAACTCTCGGCGCGAGCGAGCGCCGTTTTTTTTTATTTTTCATTTCCAACTTGGAACTGCTTTTGTCCGCAGCAGCGATACTTTGATTCTGGAGGGATTGTTATTGAGATTTGGACGGCCCCTCGGGGATCAAACCCGGGGGAACGGGACGCAAATAGAAGTTTCGTAAATCGTTTGTGTGCTTTGAGATACGTCAAATTTTATTACGTTTGTAAAAAGCGTATTTTTAGAAGGGCATCCGCGTATTTTGAATACAATCCAAATGATATTTTGTTTGCGAGCCCCTATATCTATACACTACCGATATAGCTATTTCTGTTTTGTTTTTGACGGATTTTTCATACATAATTGATTGTCCGATGGTGGACGCTCTGATAAAAAATTAATGTGGACTCTAAATTTCGAGAAAAAAATAGTAACGTATTTTAGGAGCAAAAAGATGTTTCCTTTTACTTATTCATCGCTAAAATTTATTCGTTCTTAGAGGATTTCGCAACGATCGAGAACAATTGTATATTAGTAATCGGCATAACAATTTTACTATCTATTTTTGTACATCGATCGGAAACAAACAAAGTATCCGAGTCAACTTATTTACATTGAATTTAATTTAACTAAAAACAAAAAAAAAATAAACACCTGGTGGTTTAAAAATTGTGTTTTCAAGAAAATACGATTGAAAACAGATACAAACAGCGTCTTAGATCTCGGCAATAAAGAGCAAATAAACGATCGAGAATCAGAGCACGCACAACCAAGCGCTAGCTCCGAAAAGGATGAAAAAAAAAAAAAAAAAAAAAAAAAAAATAAATAAATAAAAGTAAAAATTAACCAAGTGCCAAAAGACCCGCGGCTCGTAACAAAAGACACAGATCGGAGAAAGGCTCGCCGTAGCCGCGAGTTGGCGCTCAAGAGCCCTGACGGTATATGTACGCAGGTATACTTATACACAAAGAGCGCGGGGGCGGGAGGGGGAGAGAAAACCGGCGCGCGAAGCGAAGGAGGATAGAAAGGGGATAAGAAGGAGAGAGCCCCGGCAAGGGGGAGAAAGAGAGTCTCGGGCGACCGACAGGTGTCCGCGGCGCGCGCTCTCGCCGATATATTCAGTGTCGCGGCGACCACTCGCCAGAATAGAGCCGCGCGTCGTTGGCCTCTTCCGCGAGACCGTGTTTTGTTTATTGTATTTTCTCAACCCTCGTTTATCATTCTATACCATCACGATATTTTTACTCCTTTTTCTCCCCTTTCCAACCCCCCCGTACACAAAACAACCCTTAGCGTTTGTCGTCGCGTTTACACTTACTCACGTTCGGCCGGTTGTCCTGATCCAGCTGACCATCGTACAAAGGTATATGCATCAGGGCAACAGTTGTAGGTACACCCGGATTTTTTTAACACTCGTACAGTGCACATGAGGTTTTGAGCCGGAGTGCAGTGTCCCTGTATATCGGGAGAAGAAAACAAAAAAAAAAAAAAAAAAACACATAAAGCGAAGGCCAGTGGTGCGCGTATCCTTCGCTTGCCTGGTGAGTGTGTTTGTCTTGCCTGACCGGCACCACCGGAAGGACTAAACCAGGACGAGTAGAGAAGGAGTCCGTTGCTCGACCAGAGGCGCAGACTCCGGGCGTGCGCGTGGATCCTGCACCACCAGCACACAAGGGTAAATTTTGCCGTATATACATTTAGCCATCAGCTGTTGACTGCTACCTATACATGCTACCCTGTGTCGTGTATAGATACGCAGTGCGACTGCCGAGGGGGGTGGTATGCGACAGCGCATGCCTACGAACCCCCTGGCACCCCGTGTTTATATGTCGGTTCTGTGCTCGTGCATGCGTATAACTTTTTTTTTTTTTTTATATAACTTACGACACTCTCTGTGCCTCGACGACTAAGTTTTCCCGACAAATTTCACGCCCATCATACACCTTGGAGAAAAGTAAATAAAGTAATTTTCCAATTACCATAATATGACGTTTTGTATCGAAAAACTCTCGTTTTGTAAGGTTCTTCAGGGCCCCCTGAGCCACAACAAATCTCATAGCAAACCCGTGACTTTCCAATAAACCAAATAATACCATGAATTTGATAAGAAGCGTCGATTACACTGATAATATTTTATGTATGGATATACGCTTGACACATATTATGGTTAGCTCAGCTGGATAGTTCGGGTTGGTTTGTTTACACACCGTGAGAAGGTTAGGTGCGGATAGCGTCATTGTTGTATAATGACAGAGGTGCTACGGTCCGGCTTTTGAAGAATAGCTGTGCAGCCGCTTCGATTAGACAGAAAAGTGGGCGTCGTATAGGGGGAAAACAGAATGATGGGTTGTATCAATTTGAATGTGGGTCAGCGCGGTGTGACCCTCTTCCCGATGCCCGTCTAGTGAGTTTTTTTTTTTCAGTAATGATGCAGCTCGACTATTTTTCACACCCAATAACATGGTGCCTTCTAACGGTACGTACCTACTTTGTCGGACCTTTTGTGCTGGGAGTGAAAAATCGACTCTATGCGGTACATCCTTGTGGAGCTCTTTTTCTTTGCCGCGATGCGTTTTGTGAACACCTTTTTTATTTATCTCGTGAGCGTGAAAATCAAGGTGATGTTATTTCAACAGCAGAGGTATTTTTGCACATCCACAAACAAAACTTTAATAGTCCAGTCGAAATGTACGATCTTATTATTACACAGCGAACGATTTGTTGTAAGAAAACAAGAAAAAAGAAATACCGAAAACCTCCCACGGTACAACATATACATCGACACGCGTATACATACGCAAAGGGCTTATTTATAAATAGCTCTAGAACGCGATCGATTTTCCTGGCTGCGTTTTCGTGTCAGTCCAGCATTAACGGTAAGCCCCTAGGGGTGTTTTTCAAGTTCATCGGCAAGAGCACGCGATCGTATAAAAATCGATTTTCCAAATGCTCCGACATCTTTTTACAACAGATTCCAAAACCAAACCGATCGAACATCCCTCCGTCAGTTCGATCGGATCGTACGCGGCGGTGCATAAAGTTTGTCACTCTCGAGAGGGACAATCCAACGTTGGGAGATCTAGCCGCGATACCCCGGCAAAAGCCATTATCGCCCCGCGAGGAGAAAGATTTACGGCATAATAAGCCCCTCGGGCGCGCATAAATCTGTCACATTGGAGGAAAAAAATCCAACGCACGTGTGAAATAATTAAGAGAACAGCGCAAAGATTTATCGTGACGATTATCAATCACTCGGATAAACTAATACGATTTTTCGCTGTGCCCCCTCCCCTACGTATACACGCGTGAGATCCTATCTCGATGCCAAGTCAAGAGCGGCGGTGAAAATTTATTTCCCCCTCGGACGAATAAATGGAAACAACGAGTCTGGAGGTCAAGGCCGCCTCACCTGAAAGTGCACCCATATCGCACGTGGACGTCAAATCACGACCTCCCCCGTGGAACCCCATCTCTCGCTGGTGCTCCCCAGAAAATACATAGGTGTAAGGAAGAAAGAAAAAAAAAAGGACCAGAACGAAGAACCACCTGCTGTCTGGTACGACGCGCGTCTTTCTCTCGTCGAGTCCGTGAGAAATCCGAGCCGCCGCGCGAGGAGCGTTGATATTCGCGCGGACGCACCGCCCATATGACGTATGCACATTCGAGTGGCGGCGCGTGGGTTAGAAAATGTACAATCTCGGGGGTTCTCGCTGGCTCTCT